CTATGTTGTCCACTCACCTTTTCAATTATTTTCTCCAGGCCAAAGAGAGAAGTCATCAGGGTTTTGATGTGGATCGGGATGCCAAAAAGCTGAACAAAGCCTGCAAGGGAATGGGTATGTTTTGTATTTTAGCTTACTTTTGAAGTTGATTAAATTTGATCTCATGTCCAACTTTCCCATGATCTTAGGAAGATGACCTTGTGCATTCCACGCTAACCCAAGTTAATTACTTCTAGGGTTCTCTTTGTAAAAGATCCCCAAACTATAATCAGATCCTAATGCATTTCAAGATTCAAAAGGATAGTTGAAAACTGGATACCATGACACTGAATTTGACCTTGAGGTCGAAGAAACTTCATGAGAAGTGTAGTCATGCAATCCTAATGTCATCCAAGCCCCTCTGATCCCTTTCATGAGAGGTGGTGGGAAATAGGGTCTGATGAAAGCTGGATTAGGGATATGGGAACTGCATCTAGAAGCAGATCAAGTAAACATAAAACTGTGGCCAAGGTCAAGAATCAAGGGTCAAGACCAGAGAAGCCATTTACATCGATGCCTAAGGTAAGTGCATGACTAAGAATAAGAGACTAAGAAAGAGATCAGGAATAAGGTAACCCCCATAACAAGGTGAGATGAAGGGGAGAGCATCTAGAAATAAGGCCATGAGGAGAGTCTCTGAGACCCAAGGAGGTCTCTGATGAAACAACTCTCTAGTCCCAGAAACCCAGGTTTTAGTATATTCACAGGATTGGTAACCATCATTATTAATTCCAGAACATTTTCACTGCCCCGAAAGAACCCCCATTTCTATTAACAGCCACTCCACATGCCCCCTTCCCTTCAGGTCCAGGCAATCATAATCCACTTTCTGTCTCTATGGATTTGCCTATTCTGGACATTTCATATAAATGGAATCATGCAATATGTGACCTTTTGCATCTGGCTTCTTTCACTTTGCATATTGTTTTGCAAAAACAGGTGCTAGATTTTTACTTAGAAGTAAATCAGTGAAGATTTACTTTCCTAGGAATGGGTATTGTGGTACAACAAATACGGCCATAAATTCTTTGTGTGACTCCAGAGAAAGAACTGGAATCCATAGTGGAAGTTCTAAGAAGAGATATTTTGCTTCAATATAAGGAACTATCTGAATATAAAGTAGTCTGTCTTGCCCAAGAAATGTTGGAGAAGTTCCAAGGAGTTGGGGTTGGAGAAGATCTGGTAGGAAAGTGGTAAAAGTAAGTGAATGCTTACATAGTAAGTGTTCTTGAACAAATCAGAGGGAGAGGGAGCTGGAAATGAAGAATGACAACTAGCTTGCTTGGTTTGGGTGTGGGGGGTGGGGGGGGGCATCAGAGGAAAGCTCAGCAGAGAGGAGTTGCTTCTTGCTCATATCCTGACCTGGCTCATGTTGTATTTGGACAACAGCTGTCGGGAGCCATGTTTGCCTGGAAGTGGTAGGATGTTTATAGTTCTGAGTCTTGCTGAGTGGCTGAGCCCGCCTCACAGGTGCTTCCCTGCTGCTTCTCAAGTGAGGTCCTGACACCTGGATGTGGGTTGGAGATAGGAACAAAGTGGGTATGGGAATGACTCAGCTGCAGTCAATGATAAATCTCCACATTCTTAGCCACTTAGTGAGTTAAGTTCAGAAAGAACAGATGGAGCACCTACTGAATGCCAAAATCAGTGTTTTCTTCTCGCTTTTGGATGTGCCTTCAAGGTGGTACCACTGTTGTGCTGATTACTGTTGTAGAGCAGCTTCTATGTGCCAAGTGCTAAGCTGGGCACTGCACACAGGTCGTCTTGTATAACCCTCTCAACAACCCTATAAAGCTGCATTCTAACGATTTAACAGATGAGAATACTGAGGCTCAGAGGTTAAATATCTTGCCACGGTTGAAGAGTTAGGAAATGAGAGTGGGGGGATTGGAAACTAGGGCCATCTTGGAAAACTATGATTTGGTTGAAGGTCTAGAATTCTAGAATTCCAACCTCTATTAAAAAGTGCAAGCCAGGGGCATCTGGGTGGCTCAGTCAGTGAGCATCCAACTCTTGGTTTTGGCTCAGGTCATGATCTCAGGGTCGTGAGATGGTGAGATCAAGCCCTACGTTGGGCTCTGCGCTCAGCAGGGAGTCTGCTTGAGATTCTCTCTCTTCCTCTGCCCCTCCACTCTCTCTCTCTCGCAAATAAATAAATAAAAATAAATAAATCTTTTTTTTTTTTTTAAGTGCAAGCCAAAGCAAAATTGTATCTGGCAAAATTTGTCCTCCAGACCATGTACCCGTCTCATTGATATCCCAGCCCTACCAGGGCTGGCTTTACATAACTAGGGCCATGTTGTCCCATAGCCACAAAGGTGAGTGATATAGGTCATTTTAAGTTTTTGAAAAGCCAAATTTAAAAAAAGCAGGTGAAATTAATTTAAATAATATACATTAGCTAAGTCAATACTATATCAAAAATATCTCAGCAGACAGTATAAAAATTATTAATGAGATATTTGACAACCTTTTTTTTCACATTAAGTCTTCAAAAGACTTATAGTATATTCCTCACTTACAGAACATTTCAACTTGACCCAGCCACACTTCATGTCCTGTGTAGCCACATGTATCCACTCTATGGGGCACAGTGGGTGTAGGGGTCCTACTCATCAAAAAGATTATGTGCACTCCCCACCCCCTCATCCTCCTACAGGATTCAAAATAAGAATGCTCTATCCTAAAATAATATTTGATTTTTCCAAATCACATAAAACTTACAGATTTCCTTGTTTCTTTGATGCCCCTGCTTTCCTAGGTCCTAACGATGTGCGTGGTGTGGGTCTTGGTTAATCCAGAATAGCCTTTTATCCTCCTCACTACACTGACACTCTTTGTCAGGCCTTCCTCTTGGAACTCCGTGCCCCTCTGCTGGCCCTTCTGAGGAGAAGGCCTTAAACCTGAGAGTGCATGGACCCAATACCTATTATCCTTTCTGAAATGTAAAAGGATGCTTGTCATTCTCCCTCAAAGAAACACAGAAAGAGGCTCCAGAAAGAAAAGCTGCCATGGAGATTACCCTAGTTCTAGTTCATGACTTCTCACCAGGGTGTTAATACGCAGATTCAGACTGGTGGTTCTAAGTAGTTTCTCAGATCCTGCATTTCTAGTAAGTTCCCAAGTGATGCTGATGGTATGAGTCCTAGAACTGCACTTTGGGGAGCAAGGTCTAATCCATCTGAGATCCACTGAGGTTAATGCTGTTCAAGCCACACTGGAGGGGAACCAGGTCTAGAACTCAGATCTTGTGACCCCGAGCCCAATTCTCTTTCCCCTCACTAGGCATGGGAATGAATTTTGGACCTGGCTTTGAGCCCCTGCTCTGGCACCTTCTGGTGCCGTGACCTTAGTTTTCCCAACTGCAAAATGGAGCTAATAATGCCTCATTACAGAAAGGGGCTGAGGATAAGGAGGCATCACAGTGCTCAGCACTTCACTGGCCCTCATTACATGCTAGTCGGCTCCTTTTGAACAATAAGCTCGGATCCAAAATCCCCACAAAGCCCATTAGTATGAGCAGCGAGGAGGCCCGCCCTTGAGTGGCCTTTGTTCTTCATCACTGCAGGTGTACCAGGTGGAATGGTGCTCCCCCCCAAAGATACATCCACCCAGAACCTGCGAATATGACCTTAATTGGGAAAAGGGTCTTTGCAGATGTAATAAGTTAAGGACCTCGAGAAGGGATCAACCTGGATTACCTGGGTGGGCCCTAAATCCATTGACAAGTATCTTTAAAAGAGAAGAGGGGTGCCTGGCTGGCTCAGTCAGTGGAGCACGCAACGCTTGATCTTAGGGTCGTGAGTTCGAGTCCCACGTTGGGTGCAGAGATTACTTAAATAAATAAACATTTTTAAAAAAGAAGAGAGAGAGAGAGAGGCAGAAGAGAAGCAGACACGCAGGGAGAGGCCGTGTGGAGCCAAAGCAGAGCGTGGAGTAATGTTCCAGAAGCTGAGCTAAGGATTGCCGGCAGCCTCCGGAAGTTGGAAGAGGCGAGGAACAGATCTGACCCCAGAGCCTCTGGTGGGAGTGTGGCCTTGCTAATGTCATGATTTCAGCCTTCTGGCCTCTGACTCGTGAGGGAATATATTGCTGTTTTAAGCCACTGAGCTTGTGGTCATTGTTACAGGAGCCTCAGGAAACGAATACAGTGGGCAAGTGAAAAGCAATGACCCTCCCTGGCAGGCAAGGTTCTCCTCACTCGTGGCTTCCTCTACCTTCCCTGCACCCCCATTTGCAAAGGAGACACCAAGGGATTGGGAAGCCCACAGCCCCCTGCTCAGCCAGGCTGCTGGGCCTGACATGTGGAGCCTGCAGGGGAAGACGAGCCCCAGCCCCCAGCGCGCTGCCCAGATCCCTTATGTGGCACACGGGCCCCGGGTGTGAAGAGGAGGGCACTTCAAACTCAGCAGCCTCCCTCCTGCTGGAACTCAGCTCAGTCTCCTCCCAGAAAATTGCTGGGAGAGCAAAAGCGAGGAGGCTGATCACCCTGGGCCTGACCTCTACTGTATAATTACCCTGCAGTGTCCGATGCACAGGCAGGGCTGAGGTTCCTTCTTGTTTTTTAAGAAGTCTTTCCCAGAACCACTGGGGACTGGCCCCAGTGCCTCAAACCATTGTAAATGTTTACAGGAAATCGTTCAGCAGCACAGACTGCTTATATGACACACATATTGTGAAATGTAAAATGAGGTCACTGTTCAGTAAATCACTTCTTGGTCGGATAGTGGGAAAGCCTCCCAGGATAAACCTGAAACCCAGATTCAAAGGGCTTGAGGGAAATCTGGTCACTTCCATGCTCTCCCCCCAACCTCCAGGTTATTGCTGAGCCATCCCAAAACTGCTTTGGTCCCTGGTCTCACTTTCTAAAGCATTCCAGGAAGGAAAATCTAAAAAACATTAATTTTAAAATGTTGGCTTTCCTGAATTATCCAGATACGGGTTGACTCTGGCATCAGAGTAGATTTCCAATTGGTCCCAGCTACACAGAGCCCATCCAAGTGGCACATGAAGCTTACACTAATGCAGAGACAAGAGCTCTCATAATGCTATGCAGAAGTCTTTATTCACTCACTCATTCATTCATTCACCCATATATGCATGCATTTAAATATCCATGCATTCAGCAAGTTGATGAATATTGAGAGGCTTCTTCTGTGTGGCTACAGCAGTGAGTGAACCCCCCTGTCCCACGGGACGTGCAATGTGGCATGGCAGAGATGGGACAGAGAACAGGCCACGTGAGGCACACAGAAGGCAGAATGCCTCATCTGTTCTGAAAAAGTACATTGAGTTGAGTCCTAAAGGAGGAGTGGGAGTGAAGGTGAGGATCAAAGACAACGATGTTCCAGGTAGAGGGAAGAGCCCATGCAAAGACCCAGAGGTGAGAAAGAAAAGTGTTGCTTGTTCTCAGAGCTGCCCATGGGTTAGGGAGAAGCTGGGAGAGGATGGGTAGGAGGGACATGACTTTGAAAGGCAAGTAGAAGGGACTCCAAAAGGCCTCATATGCCCCACTGAAGAGTTGAGACTATTCTGGATTTGAAGGGCCCAATATTATAAGCTTTTATACAGAAGAATGAGCAGGTGAGCTGCTCAAAGCATGTTCTGGGGATGGTGAATGCTCGTTGGAAAAGGTGTGTTTGATGCAGGAACCCCGTTGGGTATCCGTGGTTCTGTTGAGCAATGTGACAAAGGTGAGGGTAAAGAGAAATGAGTGGGTCTGAGAGATACCAACGAAGTGGAATAGTGAGGTCTTAGTGGTAACTAACTGGGTGTGGAGTGAGGGGAGAGAGCCAGGAATGAGCCCCAGATTCCTGGCTGGCACAATCTAGTGAATGGGCCACCTGGGAGGCAGGAAGGCTCCATCCAGGGATAACACCAGCAGGGATCCAGGCCTGAGATGCGGAGGCCCTCTACCTGGGCAGGAGCAGCCCTCACAGAAAGAAAGGGGCCGAATCAGGAGAGTTTTACGAGAAAAAGAAATCCCTTCTGAAATGAGATTTCTGGCACTCAGAAGTTAAAAAAAAAAAAAAAAGTCACAGAGGAAGTAATTGGATACCCATGACAAAGGTAGTGCAGGAAAAAATTTGGAGGAACAACATAAATAACAGCGCTCAAAATGAACTAGAACTAGGCGGCGATTAACCACCGCTCTTCTTGTAGGTGAGCTCATCCTAGAATTTACTGTTTCTCCAGCTGGAATCAAACAGCTAGGTCTTCCCAAATCGTACAGATGGAGCTAATCCCGGAGACTACGTGAACAGTCTGAGGACACATAGCTTGCCAGGACCCGCACACAGCTCTCCTAACCCCGTCTCCCCAGGTTCTGCCGTGAGGACCGGCGGCGCCAGAGTCGAGACACAGATAAAACACATCAGCCTCCACCAGCAAAAACAGAAGGAGAGTCTTTTTATTCCCTTCCCCCTCTCTACAGTCATGCCCCCCTTCCGTCTACACCTCCCCCGTACCCACCACCCAGATTTGTCTTCCCCCAATCCTTCCACCAAAAGGCATCAAATGCATCTACCACCTCTTGTTCCCTGCGGATCCTGATCGCTCAGCTGGGTGGGAGCGATGGTGCAAGTTCAACTAATTCAGTTGCCTTCCAAAGTGACCAAGCCCGTGCTAGTCACAGGGAGTGGCCACTGGGAGTAGGGGCGGGAATGGGCCAAGGCAGGACTCTCCAGACTCTGGCTGTGAAGAGCGGGTTTGGGGCTCCTTTCTGGAAATCTTGACAGAGTGCTGAGGGTAGTGGGTGTATGAGTTTCCTAGAGCTGCCATAACAAAGTACCACAAACCATGTGGCTTAAAACAGCAGAGACCCATTGTCTCCCAGTCCTGGAGGCCAGAGCTTGAAGTTAAGGAGTCGGCAGGCCATACTCCCTACTGAAGGCACTAGGAAGGTCCTGTCCCAGGCCTCTGCCCTGCTTCTGGTGGCCTCAGATGTTCCTGCGTTTATAGACGCATCTCTCCAATCCTCCATCCTCACGTGGGGCTCTCACTGGGTCTCTGTGGCCAGAGTCCACATTCTGTGACAGGCTTTCAAACCTCAATCATTTGGCTACCACCTCCCATGATTTTGGCCAATCTGAGGACTAGTGACATAACATTCTTCTTTTAATCAACTCCTTCAGCCCCTGTCCTTTACAAAATGTCAGCAAAATCACACGTTTAATACCTTAGTGAGATTTTATATATGGTTGACCCTCGAGCAACACAGGTTGGAACTGAATGGGTCCACTTACATGTAGGCTTTTTACAGTACTGTAAATGTATGTTCTCTTCCTTATGATTTTCTCAGTAATGTTTACTTTTCTCTAGTTTATTGTAAGACTACAATATATGATACACAAAACATACAAAAATGTGTTAATTGACTGTGTTATCAGTAAGGCTTCTGGTCAGTAGTAGACTATTACTTAAGTCCTTAGGTTTTTGGAGACTCACAAGTTATACATGAATTTTCTACTGCAAGGGGAATTGGTACCCTTAACCCCTGTATTATTCAAGGGTCAATGGTGTGTGTGTGTGTGTGTGTGTATGCATATATATAATATATATATCATACAGTCAGTAAAGGAAGAGGCATTATTTGAATCCAGGCTGAAGAATCTAATTCAGTGTTTGCTGTTTAAGTAGTCTTTCTCATTCCCACACCTTCAATACCCAGATCATCTTTCCAATCCGGTCTCCATGGACATTCTAAAGGATATTCTAAAAAGGATATTCTCCTCTTCTTTCTTATTCACTATAGTTTTTGGTACTGATTAAATATCCCACAATGAGCATGTATTACTTTGAGCATAGGGGAAAACAACCTTTGAGAAAGAATGTGATTTAAAGATGTAATAGTCAGAAGTTGAAAGAGGCAACTACCCATCATGGTCCCCGTTAGGACTTTTTTCTTGAGATTGACAAGGTTATGGGTGAGTTTGATATTGTAGCAATTTGGGCCTATATTTTAATCTCTTCCACTCAGTTTTAAGTACTTGGAGGCCAAGGAACAGACCATACTTTGTTTTTTTTGAGATTGTTCAGTTTTATTGAGGTATAAATTCACATACCATACAGTTCACCCATTTAAAGTGTACAATTCAATGTTTTTTAATATATTCACAGGTATGTGAAAGCATCATCGCAGTCAATTTCAAACATTTTCATCACCTCAAAAGGAAACCTCCTACTCTATTAGCTATTACCCCCCTACCCACCGCATCCCCACACACTACTTTCTTGTCTCTATAGATTTCCCTATTCTGCACTTTCATAGGAATGGAATAACATAATACGTGGTCTTCTGTGACTGGCTTCTTTCACTTAGCATGATGCTTCAAGGTTCATTCAAATTGTAGCATGTATCAGTACTTCATTCTTCTCTGGCCAAATGATACTCTGTTGTATGGATATACCACATTTGTTCATCCATTTGTCCATTGATGGGCATTCAGGAAATTTCCACCTTTTAGCCATTATGAATGATGCGGCAATGAACATTCGTGTGCAAGTTTTGTGTCGACATTTGTTTTCATTTCTCTGGAATATGTACCTAGGAGTGAAATTAAGGCCATACTCGTTCCTCTTTCTGCTACAATGCCTAGCACCATGCTTCATGCAACGTGAGGCCTCCATGGATATTTGTCAAGTGAGTGAGAAGAACACAATTCTCCGCAAGACTTTAAAGTGAAAGGGTCCATCTAGGTTCCACCAAAACCTCTGACCATGGCCCTAGCTTCCTGAGAATTGACTAAAATCAACCTCCATCTTCTGTCTTGTTCACTCTTGGCCTCGTTTCTTTCTCCTGCTCTTTAGGAACTGATGAAGCAGCCATCATTGAGATGTTATCAAGCAGGACATCGGATGAGAGGCAACAAATCAAGCAAAAGTACAAGGCATTGTATGGCAAGGTGATCCGAAGGGTCCTCACAAGCAGGCATACAGCCCTTGGCCTAGGCGTTCTCTGCTTTCTCTATACTCCCAAGGCAGTGGAGAAGATCTTTAAAGCTTTACTGAGTTAGCTCAAGAGAAAACAAGATGAAACTACTCTTCACAATTTTAATTGATTACAGAGAAACTGAAATTGCCTTGTTAACTCAATAGCCTACAAAATCAATATTCCTTAACTCCTTTTGAAAATTGACTTCCTTTTTCTATTAATCCCTCTGTCATTTTTCCACTCATTTGGACCAAGTCTACATATTAACATACAGATAGGCCAGTGACTTGAGAACCAATTTTCACAGGTGGGTCTTTCTTCATACAAGAATTCTTCATCTATTCACTGGCCCTCAAGAATGATACACTCTTCATAAGTGATTGTGATAGAAAACTACAAAAACAAAAACAAGCAAACAAAACACAAACCTCCATTTCATTAAGCATGAACACCTGGTTTTCTTTCTTTAGATGTGTCTTTTCTTTCCTTCTTTTTGTTGTTGCTGATGGTGTTATGTATAGAAATCTTTAAGTATGCATTAGGCTTTCTATTTTCTTTATTAATATATGATGAACACAATTTAACCTTTTCTTAATGTCATGAGAATTATTAGCATGCAAAATGAATATTAATCGTTATGCTGTATTCGAATCCATATTTATAAAACTTTTACACTTTCAATCCCTCTATGTATAAATAGATATAGAGATGGGCAGATCTTACTTATTTGACACTGGGCAGGCAAAAATCTCTTTAGGCCCTGGTGTCCTCACACACAGAATGAAAATGGTAATTTACCTCCCTTCCCAGGTTGCTGAGAGAATCAAGCAGGCTAATGACAGCACCTATCAGTAAAGGGAAGCTATCCTAGGTTTGACAGTTTCCATTTTACAGAGAGGAAACCTGGAGCTCCTCTCTGTACATGACTCATGCAAAATCACACACTTAGTGAGAAAAAGGACCGACATTCCAATCCCAGTCTTTTGACTCCAGGGCCAGCATCCACTCCTGAAGAACCCATTGCCATGAGAGGAGCTATTTCTTTTCAAACTACAAGGCCCAGATGGCTGTGCTTTTATAGTTTCCCTGTGTCTCTCCTCACAGTCAGGCTTGTCAGTGTCATTCCTTGATGACATTGATGAAAGTAAGTTGAGTCTTCAGTTCACCTGCATGGAACTGAGTTGAATGACATTGAACTTTCATCCTTGTCAGTGTGCCTAACTGTAGCAGCCCCTCAAGAGCTACGTCTGCCCCCACCCTACCCATGTGGAAAGTCGGATCAGGCTTCTTAAGCCTGAGGGTAAAGCAGAGTAAAGAGACTTGGGGGCTCTGCTAAAGGTCAAGTGGGCATTTCCAGCACCAAACTTTGCAACACCAGCATGTGCCCATCCTTTGCTTACACACCAGTTCACAGCTGTTTCAGACAGCCAGGACTGCCAAGGAGACCTTGGCAAGGGACAAATCTAGGTCCCCATGTCAACCAAGCTCCAGAGAAAACATGCACCCCAAGGTGACACAGCTAGTGAGCAGGAAAACCAGGATTAGAGCTGAGATCTCCTGAGCCGGCTTCTGTGTCCAAACAGAATGTAAACAACAGGGATTTGTTTTCTTGCTGGTGGCCTGGAAGAGTAGGCAGCTAGGAGTTCTCTTCCCTACAGTTCTATACAATGCCCATCCGACATGAAAAGACATGTCCAGTCTTTGGGTGGATCCACACTGTGGGGCACTGACTGCCGGCCTGCCTTCACCGGATGCAGCATTCGATGGAGAAGCTACCTTAAGATGGAGGCAAAAACAGCACGGCCCCCTCATGAGACTGCAGATCCCCCCTCGTAAGGCAAAATCTTCCAGGTCTTTCTCCCAGGCTCAGAGCTCAGAGGCTCATGTGAGAGTTGATTAGCCCATTCTTCAAAAGTTCCTTTCAGTATGGAATGATAATAATACTCACTTACTGAACATTTAAAGTGTACCAGGCACCGTGCTTGGGCTTTACACAGATTGTCTCTGCTATTTCTCCCAAAAACCCTAAGAGGGGAGTCTTATTATCTCCCCAGTTTTCAGAGCAGGGAACTGACAGTTGGTGAAAGTACATTTCCAAGGTCACACAGCTGCTGTGACCGTGTGGTTAGCCCTATTGCCACGTCGCCGAAGGGCCAGAGCCACTCTGTGCTGTGATTTGGGTTCCTAAGATGCTTGCTGCTGCAGGGTTCCCCCCGCCCCCGGTCTGACGCACAGGGGGCCATCTGGACATGAAGGTCCTGCTTGGAGGTCCTTCACTGAAGTTGGGGACATTGGCGACTCTAGTTAGACTGAACACCAATTCTTGTCCCTTTCATCATTAACCCGTCGTGTCAGAGAGACACAGGTAGGAGCAGGCAGTTTACCTATAATAAGAGGCACTTGCCAGAAAACATCCATGATGATGGACACTTGCTAAAAACAAGTGCAAGTGGGCATTTCCCATATTCATTTCTTCTCCCTACCTGAGTGCTTTCCCATGTGTCTCCCTTTCCACACTGAACAAGTTAACCAAAGCAATTGCACGTCTGGTGTACCCAGGATGGTCCCCATTTATTCCTGTTTTGCCCTGCGATGATTGCTACTTTCTTATTGCCCCTTTCACTCTCAAACCCATTCCCATTCGCATTTGGATGACAAATGATCTGATCCCCCTAGAGACAACAAACCTACAGTTCAGTCCTTTCTAGTCAAGCAGGTGTTTGGGAGTGAGTCCTTCATTTTTCTGAGGTCAGTAAATGGGAATAATGCCAATCTTTCTCCTGCCACGGCTGTTCTGAAGATCAGTGAGAAGGCTCTCTGAACCCTAAAATGTCCGGCAAATGCTGGTTGCTACTATAATTCATCTTTGGAGGTCTTCGGCCGTGAGCAAGGGATCTTCTCTGCCCCTCTGCCAATCTAGGGAGAAGATGGATAGGAAGTCTCTGGCTAGGAAGGTGACTACCACCAGTGTCCTCCAGAGCCGGTCACTCAGGCCAGTAGAGCTCTGTCCCCTCACCCCCGCCCCCAGCTGTCCATGGCAGTTTTCCTGTTGACCCCAAGGCCATGCAGTGGGGAGAGCACCACTTGTCCCTCTGCTTTGGGCCATTCCCCAAGCAAGAGTCAGGGCTCTCGCCATCTTCCTACAGGACCTGGAGGAGGTGTTCAAGAGTGAACTGAGTGGGAACTTTGAGAAGACAGCCTTGGCCCTCCTGGACCGCCCCAGCGAGTATGATGCCCGGCAGCTGCAGAAGGCCATGAAAGGTCTGGGCACAGATGAGGCCGTGCTCATCCAGGTCCTGTGCACAAGAACCAATAAGGTTAGTTCCAGCCAAACCCCCGACCCAGCCCCTGAGGGAGCATCCATCCATATGCCCGTCAGAGACGGTTGCAGCAACCAGAAGGAAAACTGTTCCCCACATTCCCCTTGGGGGCTGAGCAAGCGTCTGGAGAGAAACGTGTCTGCTTGCCCTGTGCAGGAGAGATCCCTCTCCCAGTCTTCTGGCTGTCAATTCTGGTGTTGCTGCCCTTGGCTTGACAGAATAGATCCTTCCCGAACAGCTGTGTCAACGCAGCTTTTGTTTTTCTAAAAGGAATGCACACTTTTATATGCAGGAGGCAAGACTCTACTTTCCTCTTCCCAGCCTGACTTTGCGGGTCTTCTGCACGAGTAAGGCAATGCGTGGTCTATGCACGTTTGTGCAGCTGCCTTGTCTGCGGCTGTCATCTGGCATAGAGTACAGGAAGGGCTGCAAAGAGGCATGAAGGCGGGTGGTGCAGATGGGGATCCCAAGGACACCCCTCCCGGCTGCCAGCGCCTTCCTGGAGGTTCCCCTCTGCTTCTCAGCACACCTCTCCCCTTGTCCCCTGGGCACACGCTGCCATTTCAGGAGCTGAAAAGAGCCTTTGTTAAGGCTTTAGCAGGAGCCCATTCGTCTTTGGTTCCAGAGTCTCGAGGCCCAAGGAATTCATCAAGAGTAGAGGGGGTCCACAAAGCATTATTCAGAGACCCCTTCCCTCTCCCACAACCACTCGTCATGTAGAATGGGGAAGTCCAGCAAGGAAAGTGCCAGAAAGTCCCAACATTCTTGAAGCCTCCAGGTAGGAAACAGAAGCAGTGTTTGGAGCAGACAGCAAGGAAAAGCTTCGACAGGGCTCTGATGCCAAACTGCTGTTTTCAAAGCCTTGAGTGCAGACGACCCTGGGTTATTCCTGCTCAGCCTGTGCCGTCCGGCGTGTTTCTCGAAGTGCTGCCATGCTCCAGGCTACAGCCTAAACCCCAGAGCCCCCTTCCTAAGCATCCCCGGACTTCTCTTCTTTCCCCGAGAGAATAAAAAACCTCCATTTCAAGGAGTTTCCATTCAGGACTGGGCCGTAGGGGAGGGTCAGCAAAGGAGGTTGGTATCAGTTTGGTCCAGCAGGGATACAGAGTTCCCGACACAACATCCCCCACCTTCCAGAAACACGACAGTCCCAACCAGGAGGCGTCCAATGTGGGGGCAGTCGGCAGCCGGCCTCGGCAAGAAGGTCTGGTCATTATTTTTCTCTTACGGTTCCTCCTCAGTCTAGTTTCCTTCAAGTCCTGCTCTCAGACAACAAACAAGCTCTTTTTTTCCCCCCAATCAAATAGATCTGACAGCAGGGAGAAGAAAATTAGGAAGAGAGCAGCCCTCAGGTTCAGGCAGATCCTGGCGGTGGGTTGAAAGGAGGAGAGCGGAAGTAGCTGCATGGCCTCAAGCGGTCAGCCCCCACCACTCCCACGTCCCCCCACACCCCTCCCCCAGGCTCTTCACCTTCTCCTGCCCCCGCCCCCCCCGCCTGCCCACTGACTCTCTTAAACAGCTTGACGCTCTGGGGAAACGCCTGCTCTCAGACGCTGCTGGCTTAAATGTAAACTGAGGCAGTTCCTGAGGGGGCCCCTCAGCGCGAGTCATCGAAATACAAAGCCCTTCTTCCCACTACACACCCTAGAGAGAAGCCCGCACTCCTGCACACAGCATACTCTTTACTGAATGAAGCCTGTTTCAAGTAGAGAAAAATTGGGAACAACCTAAATGTCCATCCATCGGGAGGCTGGCTGAATACACGGTGGCTTACCGCGGGATGGAACATTTTGAATCCCCTTAAAAAACACTAAGTGACAAGGTATACACAGAGCCGGATCTCCAAGGCGTCTTAGTGAGTAAAAAACAAGTCAAAGAGCAACGTATACAGTATTCCACTTTTCTAACAGTTGTTATCTGCTTGTCATAGGAAACAATTCTATATATTTTCAGTAGCACGTCTGTCTGTATACAGAGGCGAAGACGAATATTTGGGCAGATACTTACTGAACTTGTGGCAGGAGCCCCACCTGAGTGGGGATGGGGACATGGGGTGGTGTGAGGCGGCGGTCAGATGTTAGCTTGGCACTAGTAGTTTTGCTTTCAACTAAGGACAATGTCTGTGCGTGTTACTTGGGTGGCTCGGAATGTTTGCACGGAGGGGCTTTCTCACACCTCCAGGGACCCGCTCCAGGCCCAGGCCCCAAGCCTGAGGGTGGCCCTCTCTGGGGGAAGTTACGGAGCCATCCTGTGTCCAGAGACAGGCTCCTGCCGCTTCCCTCTGTGTGGCTCCTACTGATCAACCCCACCTGGGAATAATGGTTTTTCTTTTTATCACCCTTCCTAGGAGATCATTGCCATTAAGGAAGCCTACCAAAGGTGTAAGTGACTTTTTGTTCTGACTTGGGGTAAAGAATGTTCCTTTTCGGGGCATCTGGGTGGCTCAGTCGTTGGGCGTCTGCCTTCAGCTCAGGTCACGATGCCAGGGTCCTGGGATCGAGCCCCACGTCGGGCTCCCTGCTCAGTG